ATGTAGAGATAAGGTTGTTTTATGATTGTTCACTCAAAATTAAGATTGTGGAGGAATTCTTTGATTGTTCAGCTTGCAAATTAGCTTTTCTCTGAATGGGAGGACATGGTTGATAATAGGAGGAGAAAGTATGCTGAATAATTTAATTTTCTGAATTGCTAAAGTTCTTGCAATTGAGTTTGCTCACTGGGCTGCATTCCAAGCTGTGTTATTTTTTCTTTCTCTGCTCTGTTCTGTTTCCTTCTTTCTGTGTTTGGATGACCAGAAAAGAAAATTTGGTACGACATTGTGTCGATGTACATGCCTCAAGCTAAAATTTGATCCTACAATTACTGAAATGATAAAGGAAATATGCCAGAAATGCAGGAGAAACAAAGCAAACCGTAACTTTTAGATGATGGAAGTAGCCAGTTCTTCACAATTTCAGTATCTTTGCTTCTAGTATCTTTCCTGATACAACACAAACCTATCTTATTTCACATTTCTCGTCCATTTTCTTTTTCCTTCACAAATCATTCTCCAAGTCCATGACCCAAACACAAACACAGTTTACGAACTTCAATTATAAACCTACTAGAGTCAAATGACTCAGCTAAGGAAATATTTTATGAGCATTATAAAATATAGTTACTAGTTGATTGTAAACAAAATATAGTAGAAATTGAATTATTGTGAGAATCCAGTGGCAAATGTTTTTGTTTCCCTACACAACAGGTTGTGTGTTTTAAGTCTTGAACATAAGATTTTTTCTTTTTTATTTTATTTTTGTAATCACTTTCACACTCTGCACAGTTTTCACATGGCCACTCAAATTTGACTTCAATTTATTTAATAATGTGATTCTATGAATGTATGACTCAATGGGACAAATTAGTGACTATGGCCCATACCATTTACAACTTTTCATATTTGGCAAAGTAGTAAAAGCCACGTCAAGTGTGTTGACTGTGTTTCTTATAGTGATTTACATGGGATAAATTGTGGGCAATCTTTCTTGGTGTACACTCGGACTTAATGGTTGGTGGGTGATTGCTTTTGAATTTACTTTGTAGAAATGGATTCAATGTATTCTTCTCTAGTTGAGCAGAAAATATATTTTGTAAAATAATTTTCATATATTTTTGAAACAAAAATCAACGAAAAACAAATTTATTGAAAATATAAAAGAACTTTTTTTATTAAAAATATTTTTTGTCAAATCAAACATAGGGTTACTTGTGAAATATTCGTTGGCTAACAATTATGTGGGTTTATGATAATACACCGTTTTCTTATGTCATGTGTCTGACTTCGATTTTTCAGTCGGCATAGGCAAAAATCATCAACCTAAGGTTGTCATGGTGTTCTAAAATATGGCCCCTGCTACATAGAAAATTTTCCTTTGGAAATTCAAAGTTTAGCCCCCAAGCAGAGATTAAAAAAAGCAAAGAAATTTGGGGGTCCCTATTACAACTTTTTGAGTTAATCATACAAGTCATAAATGGAAACTACAATGACTTCGTGAAAAACAAAAACTATACTATAAAGGACATGTCTTCTAACAAGCTCATAACACCCTCTTCAACCTCAGTTTCCTTCAATATGAAGCTTCAATTCCCACCCATTCCTCTCCTCTTGGCCCCCTCCTATTCATCTTCGTTCTAGTCATGAACATGAAGAGATTCAAACCCAAAAACTCTATTCCAAAACTACCCCATGTCCAAGAAAACTACCTCTCATAGGAAACATTCACCAAATTCTTGGCTCATCACTAACCCATCACATATTGAAAAATTTGGCCGCAAAATTTGGACCCTTGATGCACCTCCAACTTGGCGAAATTTCCACCATCATCATCTCCTCTCTAGAAATCGTCAGAGAGGTCATGAAAACAAAGGTGGGAACAGACAAATCCTTTAACAATTGTTGCAACCAGCATAACTCTGCTACAGTGTGAGCTAAGGACAGATGTTCGGCCTCAGTTGAAGATTTGGACATAGTGCTTTGTTTCTTAGCAGACCATGAAACCAAATTCGAGCCAAGAAAAACATAAAACCCAGAAGTGGACCTCCTATCAGAAGTGTCCCCAGCCCAGTTGGAATCAGAAAATGCTTGCAGTTGAAGGGGACCAGCTGTAAAACTAAGACCATGGGAGATGGTCCCTTTTACATAACGAAGTACGCGTTTAACACTTGAAAATGACCATTGGTAGGAGAACTCATTAACTAACAAGCTTGATTTACTGCGAGAGCCAAGTCAGGCCTATTAATTGTAAGATATTTCAAGCCACCAACTATGCTGCGATAAAGAGAAGGATTGGCAAAGGGCAAGGAGTCAATGGCAGATAAAGAGGGCTTGACAACCAATGGAGTAGAGCATGGTTTACAGTCAAGCATGCCAGCTTTGGCGAGTAAGTCAGTGGCATACTTTTGCTGAGATAAAAAGTAACCATGAGCCTAAGCTTGAACTGAGATACCAAGGAAATACGAAATTTCGCCAAGTTCTTTCATAGAGAAAACCTTGTGCATTTGAAGAAGAAGCTGGTCAATAAGACTTGAATTACTACCAGCCAAAAGGATATCACCCACATAAATGAGGATGATCGTAATATACGAGGTAGTCTTCTGAACAAAAAGAGAGGAGTCTGAATGACTATTAATGAATCCTTGAGATAGAAGAAAAGCTGAAAAAGTGGAATACCAGGCCCTTAGGGCCTGTTTAAGGCCATACAAGGCCTTCTTCAATTTACAAACATGAGTAGGATGGAAGGAATGAACAAACCCAGGTGGTTGTAACATAAACACTTCCTCCTCAAGCTTACCACGAAGAAAAGCATTGGAAATGTCCAATTGCTTCAAAGTCCACTGAAAATGAAGAACCACGAAGAGTAAAATTCTGATGGTTGGTTGCTTAGCCACAGGGCTAAAAGTTTCTTGAAAATCAATACCCTCTTGTTGTAAATAATCCTTGGCCACTAACTGAGCCTTGTACCTAGCAAAACTTCCATCAGAATTCTTTGTGATGCGATATACCCATTTACAACCTATAGCAACTTTGTGAGAAGGAAGAGGAACCAGATCCCAGGTACACTGTTGTTGAAGGGCATTATATTCTTCTTGCATAGCTTGAACGCAGACAGGAGAAGACACAGCTTGTTTGACAGTAGAAGGCTCAGTAGTAAGGAATAGTGAAGGCTCAAAAACAGAAGCAGCAAGACACAAAGATGTTTGAGTCTTGGACCTAGTAAGCATAGGATGACAATTGAAAACTAGAGAAGGGACAGAAGGAGGAGGAGGCAAATGAAGATTTATATAGAGAGAATCAATAGGAATGGGAGAAGGGAATAGGGATGGAGAAGATACTGAATGAGGAAACGCAGGAACTAAAGAAGCAGAATGTGGAGAAACAGAAGGAATTGAATGTGAAGAAATTGAAGGAACTGAATGTGGAGAAACAGGTCCTGAAGGAGGAGAAGGTTGAGAAACAAGATGAGAAACAGGAGTAGGGCCCCAGAAAAAACCAGATAAAGAAGGAGAAAAAGGAGTATGAGGAAGAGAAGAGAAGGGGAAGCAAGATTCATTAAAAAGAACATGTCTGCAGATATGAATTTTACCTGTGAAGGGATCTAAACACCGATACCCTTTCATGAAAGGGTGATACCCCAAGAACATACAAGAGGTAGACTTGGGGTTGAAGTTTATGAGAAGTGTAAGGCTTGAGCCAAGGAAAACATTAGCAGCCAAAACCCTTTCAAAGAAGAATAATCAAGAGGATGATGGAAAAGAGTCTCATAGGGCGAGACATTATGCAAAGTAGAGCTAGGCAATCGATTAATAAGAAAAACTAAAGCAGTGATAGCATCAAACCAAAAAGAAAAGAGGCAAATTTGACTGATGAATAAGAACAATAGTTTTTTCAGAAATGTGTCAGTGCTTCCTCTCAGCCACACCATTTTGAGACCGAGTATAGAGGCAACTCTGCTGATGAATGATTCCATTAGATGCAATAAATGAATCAAGCTTCTTATTAACAAACTCAGAACCACCATCAGTGCGTAAAATTTTAAGAGGTGTGAAACTGATTTTCAGCATAAGATTTGAAGTCTAAAAACTTAGCAAAAACTTCATTCTTGTAATGTAAGGGGTAAACCCAAAAAAAACTATTAAAGTCATCCACAAACAAAACACAGTATTTAAAGCTATTCGCAGAAGAGTTAAAGGGTCCCTAAATATCACTATGAACCAAAGAAAAGAGAGCATTCACAGAAGTATTAGAGAGCTTGAATGGCAGTCTATGAATTTTGGCAACAACACAATTTGTACAAGAAGCAATCTTATTACAAGTAGTAGAACAATCAATATGATCAGAAGAAAAATAAGGCAAATGCTTGATAATGTGTTGAAACTTTAAAGGGGAAGGATGCCCCAATCGTTGATGCCAAGTGAGTGAACTAACAGAAGCAGGTGAGTGAGCATGACAGGCCTGTGGTAAAGCAACATGAGAAGGAGAGAACTGATATAAGCCATCCACATTAGATCCACTATGAAGAATTTTGTTCGTAAGCTTGTCCTGGATTTGAAAAGAGTTAGCATCAAAAATAATAACACAATTATGATCACGAGTGAGCTATTGAACAGACAAAAGATTGGACGCAATAGCAGATACATGTAACAAATTGTTCAAAGTAAAAGAACAGGTAGGAGCAGGCAAAAGACCTGTGCCAATATGATGAATGGGCAAAAAGGAACCATTACCAACAGTCACTTGATCCTGTCCTTCATAAGGCTGTGAGAGATGGAAATTTGAGAGATCATTCGTGAGATGATTTGTAGCCGCAGAGTCAATGTACCAGGGCACAAAGGAAGAACGAGGTGGTGAAGAATTGTAAGAAGATGAAGGAATTGTTGCTGCATAGGCTCTTGAGTTTGAGGGATTAGCTGGAACTGGAGATGAGGAAGACAGTGGTTAGAAAGATGGATCCATTCGATGCAAGCTATCAATAGCAGTGTGGCTTGGTTTGCCATAAATCTGACAACCAGTGGAATTGAACTGTGATCTGTTTCTGTTGTTATTTGATTAAAGAATATGGTTGTGCACATCAACACGCTAGATCGGTTTGAGTTTTTTTTTTCTAATTTTTATAAATTTATTTATTTGTTTATTTTTGTTTCTTCCTTTAATAATCACCAGGTATAAGAAATGAGAGAGGGAACTTGTCCATGCATATTCTTCTGAGGGTCTTGGAGGAATACTTGTGAGTTACTAACCTTAGTGACTTAGGTCCCCAAGTTTTTTCGTATAGAGTTGATTGAAACAGGTATTGTGAAGTAGTTATTTTGTGGCACCTCAATTTTAAGTGAAGAATTTATTATTTGGGTCACTATGTTGTCTGAAGGTGCCAAATTATTTTTAAAAAGTGGAGTTCTAAGATTTTTGAGTTCTTCCATCTGCCTTTATTTTCTTAATATGTTAATTGTACGGTTTTCAGAGGTTGCCTCTGTTTTCTTGTTTTGGATGTAATTTTTAATAGATTGCTGTAATTCTATGTAGAAAATCATAGCTAAATTGATTGTTTGGGAACAACGCTTTAAAATTTTCCTAATTTATTCAAGTTGCACAAGAGTTGGATTCAGATTGGTTGATCGAATTAGAATTGATCAAGTTTCAGATAGCAAAAAATCGGCTATAAATTCTGAATATTTGATGAAATTGGCATTCTGGGAAAGAATGGCTTTCTTATATTGTCTATTAGTTTGGTTGGAATTTCAGCTAAATTTTAAAAAATCGGTTAATAATCGAAAGAATTTAAAGATTGTATAGTAGTTAATGGAAATCTATTTTTGTAGTGAGGTTTCAATAAGGTGTTGGGACTAGGAAGCTGGACTTATTAAGGCGATATTAGAAAAATGGCTATTGAGATTCACACTAAAGAGGCATAGTCTTTGGAGAAGATTGATTGAGGGGAGAAACGACAGCTTGTTCAGTATATGAATTTTAGTATTGTTTCGATTGGTGGGTATGATTTAGATTTTGATAAATTTGTTTGAATTTTGCAAAATTTATATGTTTATTGACCTATTCTTTGGCAATTTTGTTGTCTTCAATTCGTTAAATTGCCACAAAAATGAAAGTTTTGGGAATTCTTCTGAATTATTGTTCATTTGGTCAATTGGGTCAGTGTTGTTTTGGTGAATTTTGCTTTGAATTTGTGATTTGGTTTTTCAGGGGAGGGGTTTGAAGTCAATTCCTTGGAAAATAGGGGTTATGTTGAGGCCGGTTTTGCCCACTTGTGGTATAGTCTGTTTCTTCTATCCTTCCCTCCGGGCAAGGTCGAGAGAGTCTGTGAAGCGGTACAAAAATCTTCTCGCTGATATCTTCCCTCAGTCTCAGGTGAGTGTTTGGCTTCCCTTGTATCAGTTTTACTCGATTGTTATGTCTCTTTGACGTAATCTCAATAATTTTTGTTGCTTCAGAGGTCGGTTGGCGTGACTTTTTGCAATTCTTGTGCTTCTGTATGTTGAGGATGACTACTTCAAAGTATTTTATCAAGTACATTGTTATTGAGTACTCAACAAAAAGAGAAAAAAAGGGAAAAAGTACTTAGTGTTTGACATTGATCTGGTTGATTTTTATGCTCCGGGGATTCAAATGCGATCTGAAAATGGTGGGAAAATTTAGAGAGATGTTGATTGGGATAATCTGCTTTTGAAGGTAAAAAATGAAAAGGGCAACATATCATTACACGAGGCCTTGATGAACGGTCACCAAGTTGTAGCTTATTATTTGATCACAGTAGATCCAGAAGTGTTACATTATCTGAACAATGAAGTGAAATCAGCTATGTTTCTAGCTGCTGAAGTAGGGTTTTAGGAACTTGTCACGCATATTCTATGTGATACAGTTGGGATTGAAAATACAAATGAAAGACTTGAAGGGTAATCACCTATTCATGCTGCCATTTTAAAAAGAAACCGAGGTAATTCTGACACTTATTCTTGATTTCTTTTTGGTTTTTGCATTTTTGTTTCTCAATTTATTTTAAAATCCCAGGGGTGTTTGATGCCTTATTGAAATCAGAACCAAGGTTCATTCGATTAAGAGATGAAGAAGGAAGGACTCCACTTCACTTGATTGCATGATTGGGCTATCTTGAAGAGGTTCAGTACTTGTTAGGAAGGCAGAGTTCAGGTGCTATTGCAAGGGACAACAATGGCTTACTTCCTATTCATTTAGCATCAATTAAAGGCCATATTGATGTTGTCCGGGCGTTGCTTCAGTATTGGCCTGATTCGAGGGAACTGCTCAACTGTCATGGTCAAAATATTCTTCATGTTGCAGCCAAGAGCAGAGGACATAACATGGTTAGTTACATTCTTCAAACTCCTGAGGTTGACAAGTTTTATAAACATGAGGGATAAGCATGGAAACACAACCTTGCATTTGGCCACCTTGGATTGGCATCCAAAGATTGTTAGTACCCTAACATGGGATGAAAGAGTGGACTTATAGTGAATAATGAGGGTATGTCTGCTCTTGATTCTGCTGAATACTACATGGAAAGAATGTCCTCATTTCGAAAGGTATGCACTCAGCTAATTAAGGCCTCGTTTGGCAAGAGGCTATTTTAGCCAATTAGTCAAAAAGTTACTAAATTAGCCAAAAAGTCAACAACCCATACCAAAAAGTCAAAGATTCTCTTTTCTCTCTACTTTTTGCACATCTTTTCGTAATTAGCCAAAAAGTCATCCCAAATATACAAGTTTTTTTTACCTACATATTTAGCCAAAAAGCCAAAAAGTTACTAAATTAGCATGTTCCCAAACGAGGCCTAAATAACCCTACACTTCAGATACCTAATCAAACATAACAAAATGAGGGTATGTCTGCTCTTGATTCTTCATGTTATTTATCTATTTTTATTTGCATCAATTCCACTTACATTAATATGTCAAAAATAGGGTCCAAGCAAAGCTATATCTATTGTTTGGGTAAACTACTAATAGGTCCTAATAGTTGGATTTAATTCTTATAAAGTCCTATTAAAAATAAGTCTTGGTAAAATTGTCATTAAAAATAATTTTTTTGTAATAACTTTTTATATACGTCGCTAAAAATTAACAATTAGTGATTTTTTTTGTCATGATTTTTATAAATTGTCGCTAAAACTTACAATTGGTGATTTTTTTTTATAACAAATTTTTCCCATAGGACCTATTAGACAATAAGTTCACTTATTAGTACCTACACGTAAGTTTCCCTCGTTATTATTCATGATTAATGTTTTGTAATGGTAACTATTGTGAATCTTGTGCCAGTCCATATATACAATCTCGAAATGCTTCTTCACTTAGTGTGCTAAAGCTAAAGTTCTCCAAAGGTTGTCTGTCTGTGAACATTCCTTTTCATAGTACTACGAATTATTATTTAGCATTGACTGGAAGGAATTTTGATGGTCTGCTATTTCAATAGCCATCAGGTGGTCATAGTTTAAATTTGTGGGACATTTTTATCTTGCTACGGTTAACATGGACTGCATTGAAGGCCGCTGGTGCACCACTAGCTTACTGTAGAAAAGCCATCAATGCTAAAAAGAAACAAGCATCTATGCAACTGGAGCAAGTGAACATAGACAGCTATAAGGACCGATTCAACACTCTTCTATTTGTGTCCACCCTCATTGCCACTGTAACTTTTGCAGCTGGTTGCACAATACCCGGTGGTTATAACAACATTGAACCTGACCAAGGCATGCCAACTATGCTAAAACACAAGTGGTTTCACATATTCATTTTCTGTGACACCATAGCTCCATTATTACTGCTGTTACCCTCATATGGGCACAATTAAGGGACCTCAATTTGGTGCTTACTGCCTACAGATTGGCGGCACTACCACTACTGGGGATCACTCTCACCAAAGCAAGGAGGAAATGATATCAACAGAGATATTTCCTCGTTTAATTTATTTGATTTGTTGGTTAATTGAGTTCCTTTTGTTTGCTTTTGGTCTTATATGTTGGTATCTAAGTAGCTTGCAAGCAAGTATGTAATTGTACGTAATGTTTTGATATTTTAGTGTTTTACAGTTAATGTGGCTGTTATATGTTGGAGATGAGTGGTTTTGTTCTTGTTTCTCTCCAATGTATACTCATTTTATTAATAAATTTTTTGTTGGTAAAATAAAAAAATTTAAAAATAAAGAAAAAAAAACTCATCTTGTATGTATAGAAATTTGCTAAATATGTATTGGGTCTAACTAGTAGAAAGAAATACGTAGAGAAAAATCAATGCACGCAGTGAGAATTAAATTCAAAATAAAATGAGATACATATTAATTTTTTATTTTTTTGGGATAAAATTCATTTTATCCTTTGTGGTTTAATAAGATACCCTCATTTGGTTTTAGACTAAATTGTAACACCTAACTCTACTAATAAAATTAAAAATTTACTATTTTACCCTCTTGAACCAGTTTGTCAACTCATTACATATACACAAATTTACACAAAGGATTTTACTGAGTTAACTCATTATGTATATATACGTACACAGGTTTACATATACACATTACATAGAATTTCCGTTAATATATATATATGTAGGTTTATTTATACACAATTTTATATACATATATATATGTATATAATCAAATTGGGTATTGATTTGGTTGAATATTGATTAGTCTGACCATAATCGATAGAGTATGAAGTACAAACTTTGTTTATTCGGACAGAAATATTAACGGTGAAGAAGTAAATTGTAAAACGATCCAAATTAGATGGGGATAATTGACTATTTTTAAAATATAGGAGATAAAGTGCTTTACAGATAAACCACGAGGGTTTAATGAATTTTATCTTCTTTTTTTTTTTCTCTTTTTTTCTTTTTGGTGCACGTAGCATTGTTGGAAAAGTTAAGGCCAAGAGAGTTAAATTAAATTTCTTGTCATCTAATTAAGCAGTTAAAAATAAGGTTGCTACTCAGGCAGCTCAAACCGAGCAACATATGTCCAACTTGAATTTTTAAGGATTTGACAATATATTTTTAAAATATAGGTTTATGCAGCAATTTAAAGCTCAAATTAAATTCAAGGCTAGGCCTAGACAAAGATTCCTAGCAACCTAAAACTTGAATTACAAATTTAAATATAAATATATAAAAATATTTAATATACATATAAATTATTACAATTTCAATTTGATTTGCATTAGTTGAATTGTTTTGACTTTCTTTGTTTTTTTTCTTCTTCAAATTACTAGGAGATGGAATTGAGGATTGGAGACTGAAGAAGTGAATGAACTACTGCAACATTTGTTTTAAGTTTATGTTTGTGTTAGTAAAATTTTTGGTAAGTCTTGATCAATAGAGATTTAACAACAATTTTAATCAAACAACCAAACAGAAATCAGACGAATATGTAAAGGTTTTAATGTCTTAAAAGTACAAGGATTTCTTTGGAATAATTAACAATCCAAAGAGTGAAATAAATACAGATTTTTTTTTTATTGTAATCTTTTAAATTTACTAGTGGGTGGCACACACGATGTGTGTGCAATTTAAATAAGTAGGAATAAAAAAAATAATAATGAAATTAATATTGTAATGTGTACTTAGCTTAAGTGGTATGAGTCTTCGTACTTAAACCCATGGTCATGGGTTCAAGCCTTGCCCATCTCTTTGTTTAACTTTTTTTTTAAAAATAAAACATATTGCCACATGGCATGAGGAGAGTAAAGCAAAGCAAGCAAGCTTCAGGACACCATATTATGTGTTCACTTTATAATAGTATAGATAGATAGATAATGTTACAAATTGTTAAAAGTTACTGGTAAAAGTTAAAATATTCCTAAAAATAAAAAAAAATAAATAAAAAAAAGAATGATAAGTTTGATGACTTCTGAATCTTGTTTCTTTGTTTCAACCTTACCTATTTATAGGCTTGAAACCGTGCTTCTCTTGTAACTGCTGAAAGCAGCCCACTTTCACATCAAGTTATATTCCACTACTTCACTTTGTAAGCAACATCTTCCATAATCACCCACGTTGCCGAGTTCTTTGCCCATCTTGGATTCTTTGCCCACGTCTGCTACACACTGCACAAAAACAGTAACAAGAACAATAACAACAACAACAATAATAATAATAAAATATGCTCATAATTATTTAAAAAGATAATTTTGGTCTGAATCCATAGACTAAAATTGACGGGTCACAATAAATAAGATTAGATTTGGCCATAATTGACAGGTCACAATCAATAAAATTAGATTTGGTCACAATCGGCAGGCCACAATTGATAGGAAATAATCTATAGTACAAACAGTTTGTAATGTGAACTTATTGCCTGTTAGTTAGGACTATTGGCCAGTCTAGCAGAGTGATATTTGCTTACAGCAATTCCAACTGTACTCTTCATTTTTTACTAGTTAAAATCAAAAAAATGTATGTTCTTTATTTTACTTAATTTCTTTTTTATTTATGTACTCTAACATTAGTATTTATTTTATCTATCTATACATACAGACTATTTAAAGAGCCTCCCAAGACTCTTCAAATGTAGCTAATTTTGAAAATTTTTGTTAAAATAACTATTGTAATACTTAGTCTATTAGAGTGACTAAAATATAATGAAGATAGGTATAATAGCTAACAAATCTCATTTAAAGAGTTCATTGGAGATATTCTTAGTACTATTAATGTGGCTAGGATGTTTTAATTTGTTTTGATGTGATTTCATAGTTGATACTTATGTTTCTTATTTTGTTACTTGTTAGGATGTTTTTATAAAAATTCAGCTTAAATTTGTGGGTAATTTGGGCCTATCCCAAGTTCAATTTATTGAGCTCGAACTAGACTTGGGCGGGGCTAGACAACACTCAACACTACTTGGGTAACCCTCAACTTATTGAATTTGTTTGAGGTGCACCCCAAGTTAAAAATTATGAGCTACCTTAATTTATACTAAAATCCTAATGTAATACAAGTCAATCAGTTTTCATTCCAAATGTACCAAGATGTCATTTCCCAGTATAATTTTTTTTTTTTGCCTATTTTGTGTTTGGATCATAAATTTGGATAGAGATTTGAAAAGGAAAACAAAAAAAAGAAATAGGAAAAAAGAAATAAAATGTGAATAAAATATAAGTTAAAATTTTCTTTATTTTCCTTTCCCTTTTTCTTTTTGAATCTTTATCTAAATTCATAATCTAAACAACTACTTTATAAGTAGACTCTTCACATTTATAATCTCATATGAAACTCTAATGAAATGAAAATTTTGATCATAAAATGAGTACACAAGATCAATATTTAACTAAAATAAAAATGAAAAAAATTATAACATAATGATGGAAAAAGTTTGATTAAAGTTGACTTATTTAGCATAAAGAGCCAGAGACTAGACCTTGTATTGGTTGGATGACTTTGAAATATTTCTCTCTCTTTATCCCACCAACCCAACGTTTGTTTGTCTTCTATTTATTTAACAATTTCAGTCTCAAAATGTTCCATTCACTCTTGCTTTCTAATTCCAACTACAACTTTTTCTTCACTTACTTCCAAACTTGTTGACTTGCCTTGGGACCACTACTAGAATCAACGCTTAAAATATATTTGGGCAAACTATTTGACCACTAGTCTTTGTATTTTGAGTACTATATTATTTTGGACTATGTAAATTTCTAGAATGTGATTATCGATTTTTCAATAAAATGAATCGTCACTTTTAGTTAATACCCTGTCAAATTTATTTTTCAAAATTTGGGACAACAAAAAAATAATGAATATTAAACTTATGCTACAAAAAAGCAAAACAATTTCAAAATTGCCAACTTTTAATTTATTCAGACAAATTATATTAGTAATTCTTACTTTTATATCATTTTTGATTTTATAATTTCAATGGATTTGATTTTGATATGAATTTATAATTGTCTCAATTTTGTCCAATTAATTATAACTTTTAGTTTTTCTGGATAAAAAATGGACACATAAATGGCACGTGTGATGCATTTATAGATAAAAAAATTATAAACTTGTTCAATTCAATGAGTCAATCTCAACCAATTCAGTAATATTTTCTTTCAAGAACCCTAATCAGTATTATTATTTAAACTAAATTAACACAAAATTTAAAATTAAAATTCAAAATTGGACTTATCAAAATTATTCAAACTAAAAATGGCATAAAGAACAAAATGTAAAGATTACCGATATAATTTCCCATGTGATTTATGGAAAACCGTTACTAATAGTTTTGGGACCACGGAAATTAAAGACAAAGACTAGCTGTTGCGAACTTAAAGGGGCTTTTCCCAAATTAAGCCAAATTAGTAATTTATTTCCCAAATTAGGCCTAGTTTGGACGGAATTTCCAAACTAGGCCAAAACATGGTTGTGAACCACGCTTTCACCGTTTTTGTAGCTGTCGCGCGGAAATTTTGTGAAATCGTAAAAGCGTAGTTACAAATCACGCTTTTAATTAAGAAGTTGTAGTTACAAACCACGTTTTTAAGTTAATCATAAAACGTTGTTTCAAACCACGCTTTTAAGTAAAAAATTTTTTTTGCTGAAAACGTGGTTGTGAACCACGCTTTAATTGTGCTTTTAAATATTTTTTTTTTCTTTCATAAAAGCGTGGTTCGTAACCACGTTTTTACTGTTGACCAAAGAAAGCGTGGTTATCATCAACGTTTTTATTTGAGAGTAATAGTGTCATTTCTAACCACGCTTTTAAAATATATCAAAATGTGATCAAAACATGACTTGATTTCTCTGTAGCTCAAATGGTAGTGCATTTGTTTTGCCTAGCAGAGGCGCGCGGGTTCAATCCACGGCATCTCCAAACGGTTGTTATTTTTCAAATTAAATTCAACTCTTTTTTTTCCCCCTTCCACTCACTCTATAATTTATTATGTAATTTTTTTATCAAAAAAAAGCAAAACGTTTGTTTGGATAACTAAAAAAATTCTTTATAAAATACAATTTTTTTTCAAAATGTCAACATAATTGTTTAAAAAGTATTCAGTGTGTTTGGTTTGAGTTTTTTTGGATTTAGTTATTTGAAAATTTAATTTTTTTATTTTCGTATTTTTTTATTTTTAGTGAATAT